CCTTCCATCTCGACAGAAATGGAGTTCCAGCTGTATCTTCATCTCTCTAGCATGAGTATTTATTGTTATAGTTTTGTAAAAGGCAGTTCTGCCTAAAAACAGTTTAAATTCCATCAACCATTCTGGCCAGAACAACCTCTTTATACTGAGATAAATTGTTAAAGTCCTCACCAGTCTGAGGCAAGAAAAGAACTTACTTGGGAGATATTCCTCACCCAAATTCACAATCGTTTGTTTGCAGAAATCAGTAACTTGGGGCGCAAGTTATCCATTCCAAACTAAGTCTGCTAGAATTTTTATTACTAGCAGTGGCACGCTCGCACACCAAAGAAAGCTGACTTGTTGACCAGTGTATGGTTCTCAAGGAAGTGGGGAACTTTGTCCTTCCATCATAGGAGTAAATGCAAAACGGGCAAACAGGCATCGATATCTATATTTGCACAGGGCCTCCAAAATCAATGGACCGGCTCTAGTGGTGGGCGAGGAGGTCGCAGGTTGCTGCTTGGTGGTGGTCGTCGGGGGTGGATGCCAATGAAAAATCATTAACTCAGCTAAATGTCATTTTCTGATAAATGTTTCAACGTAATTTTGCCATGTGTATGAAATTACTCAATTATCCTTGCCACATCAACTGAGTTAACAATTTTTCGTTGAAAACTAACGAAATGGGGCAACCTTGATCACATAATGAAAGTTCAGGGGGAAATTGAATCATTATAAACGTTAGGAGGTAAATTGAGACAATTTGTAAACTACCGGGGTATTTCAATAAATAAGCCAAATAAATTATAACATCTTACTTTACTATAATTACAATTTCCACAATAAAATAAAATAAAATAATGCAAGTAGTTTTTTGTTGTTGTTTTTTTTGAGGACTTTTCTTATTGAGAGGAGTGATAGCATACTAAACTCATACACATTACACGGATGTTAAGACTCAAACCCAATATCTTGCTTGATAAAATTATACAAATTTATAAATAAACCCAATCCTAGACATGTATTTATAAAAAAACCGAAGCACTATTTAAACATAGAAACACACCCAAAATCAACCCCAAAGTCAACTTTCTGGGTGTGTTTATAAATGGGTTTTGAGTGTGTATAATGATGAGTTTTGGGTGTGTTTATATGTTTAAATAGTGCTTGGGTTTTTTTATAATTTCAGCCCCCATTTTGTGTGTTTTAGTGAAACTCCCATAAAATAAATACTCCAAACCACTACACTAGTGGGTCATTTGCAATGCAAGTAGTTTTCAGTGACAAAAGTACAAATAATTTTGGTGGGAAGCCCATAAATGATATTTAACCGACGACGTGACACGTACCCTACTGTGGACTGTAGTGGCTTGTTTAGTCTCGCAACTTGGCCTTTCTCGTCTCTCCTCACACAGGCAAATTTTGTGACTTACAGCGACGCTTTAAGCTTCGTCCTCTCCTTGGGATTTGGTGAGTGTCATTTTTCAGTTCACTGAGGTTTGTCGTACAATTTTTGTGTAGCTCTTCGATTTGACTTTGTTGTTAATAATTGTTTGATTTACCAACTAGGTGGGTGCTCTTTTTTTCCTTTCCTTTTTGGCCTTTCGAAATGCCATTTTGTTCTGAATTTTGAAGTTCTGTTGAAAAAGAGAATGTTTTGGGTTTATATTGTTTATGTTTTTTTGGTGAAAAGGGTTTTTATTTTTATTTTTTCAGTTGTGAACTTGTGATCATCAACGAGATGGGTGCATTTTTTGAAATGGGTTTTGGCCATCACCATGTAAATGTTGTTAGACAGTCGTCCATGAGCTCTAGCTAACATAAATAAGGAAATAAAAGTTAAAAAAAATGGGCTTGGAGATATTTCACACCATGGTATTGTTAAAAATAGGTGCTTGGTTTAAGGGAAGATGCAAGCGAAATTTCTGAAGAAAAAAAAAACCATGATAAGATCTTCCTTACCTTATTCAGAAGATTGTACTGCAACTAAGAGTGAAATGTGACACCATTTGGTACTCTAGGTGAAGGGTAGGAAGTACTTTAGAAATTTAGAGAGTTGTAAGATTTTGAAATGTGTTGTCCCACTGCCAATTTAGTTTGTCCCTCCAGCATTCATTCAAGGCGTTTGCAATGATTTTTGTTAATTTGGTTTTTTCATTCACCTTCTTTGACTCTGTTTCTTTGTTTGACATAACATAACCTAATGGTGGCTTACTACATTAATATTTCTGTTAGTCTTCAACATGACCGGGATAAGAGATGAAGCGTTTGAAGACAAAGGACCGGCTGTGAACTACTTAGATGCCAACTATTTTCATGCTCCTGCCTCTCAAAATCGTGCGTATGACCGCGTTTCTTCTCCTGCTGATAACATAAGGAGAGATGCTTCTGAGGATCAAGGATTGCGTAAGAACCATCTGGGTCTGGAAGAATTTTCTGGTTATATATTTATGTGTAATGGAAGAACAAAACCAGAATGCTACCTGCACCGTGTTTTTGGACTTCCCGCTGGAAGAAAGGAAGTTATAGAGAAGATTAGGCCAGGCATGAAGCTGTTTCTATTTGATTATAATGTGAAGTTTCTTTATGGGGTATATGAAGCAACCACTGCTGGAAAGTTGAACTTGGAAAGAACGGCTTTTGGTGGAAACTTTCCTGCACAGGTGAGTTTAGTTTTCTCTCCTTCACTTGATACCTTACATCCTTCTTGATTAGCTTTTAGGCTGCTTTTTTAATTTTTTCACTTGAGTTTTGTGTATAGGTGAGATTCAAAATTTACAGGGAATGCCTCCCCTTGCCAGAGAGTGATTTTAAACATGCTATACAAGATAACTACAAGAGAGGCTCCAATAAGTTTAATACAATTCTCAATAGCCAACAAGTAAGTTTCTCTTCTAAGTGGAATCAGTTCAATTTCATCCTTACCAATTGGATTGTTGTCATTTGGTTGACTGTACTTACTTTTCAGTTTATTTTATGGTGCAGGTGAGCCATTTGTTATCACTGTTTCATCCTATTACCATGCAATCATCCACCCAAAATGACAGTTCCTATATGAAGGATCAATTTCGGACCAGTGCAAGGCTGCCTTCTTCAGGCAGTACATACTTTAGTTCAATGCATTCCAGTTACACTCCACAAGTGTTAGTGCCTCAACATGTTCCACAGGGAGTCCATCAGCAGTGGGATAGTAGTGGATCCACAGGAAACATGGGAATTGTCCATTATTCTGTGGGTTCACAACCAATAGTGCCGGCTCAGCCTACGAAGGATCAGTTTCAGTCCTCAGCAAGCCCAAATGCAGCCTGTGCTTCACCAATGTTCGACCCTCAGTATATTCAACCAAGCGTCTCACACCCACAATATGTTAGTTATGGATACACAACGAACATGGGCTACTTTTATCCTGCTGTGCAACCACAAGCTATGCCAGCTTCAAGTCAGACATATTATTCTGCTGAATTTGGGCAGCATCACTTGGCTGAAGTAACTGCCCAGCCAGCACCCAAATCATATGAAAGGTACTCTTCCTGTGGTAGCTTGATTTTGATTATTCAAGCTTCATTTTTGGCAACTTGGAATTTTCCATGCTCCACCAAGCAACTGCCTTCCTAAACCAAAGTGCTAGGCAAAGAGTACCCTTTTGGGAAGCCACAGTAACTGAGGAAGTGAAGATTTGGGCGACTGTCCCTAGGAAGAAATAAAAATATATTAGGTAATTTGGGAAATGTTATATTTGATTGGTTAAATGGAAGTTGCATATGATCATGTTAAGCCTGGACGGGAAAAAACTATGCCACAGCCCCCTTTGTAGCTGAACTGTGCAATATCTTTTAAATTTGTTTCTTTTGACTTATTGTTGTTATTTATTGGACTTAAATAATCAAGGTCTTTGTGTTGCAGCTATTACAGGTATGAGGCTGCACAGGATATGGTTCCTGCTTATCAGCACACGGGCTTCGGGCATGGTTACAATCAGTCACCTCTGCAGACGGATAGGGAAACTATTTTACAGCAGGAGAATGCTGCTGAACACCACAATCTCCACCAAGTGCCTACAGCCCCACATGCTCCACCATCTATACAACAACATACGTTCACATCAGAACAGCCTGGGCTTGCAGCAGGGACAGTTCCGATGCCGTCGTCGAATTCCTGGACAGGGGCCAGTTCAACATAGAGCTGATGGACAAATTGTGGATCTCAAACATGCTGGAAATTGAGCATGAATCTTTTGCAAAGAAATGCTTGGTCTTTATGTGACTTCACCTGTATTTAGTTTATGTTGTGAGCTTAAAACAATATTCTAGTCAGTTATAAATAGTTACTAACTTACTAGGTAGGTAGGAATGATACATTGGTAGTATTGTAGCTCAGTGTAAAATGGGCAAGGGCAGCTGTGGCCTTGCTTGCAGAATGGTCTTTTAAAAACAGAGCATTATTTCATATCATTTTCAATTGGCATGAGGGAGTCATATTCAATCACTTTTGATTGCTTCATTTATATGATTATGCATTATTCCATTGCTATGATAGGTGGGTGGGTCATGACTCATAAGATCGATCAATAAAGTTGCAAGCATGGGTCAGTTGGAATTGTGGGACGTTGACCTTGTCCTTAACCTTGACCAAGACTTATCCAATTGTATTGCCATGATTGTTGTCAAGAGAGCAAGCAAGTGTTCAAGGCTGGGACCTGCTCGCCTCACTCTAGTCTGTCTCAAGGGAACCAAAACGAAATGAACCCTGCTGTAGCTAGAGGAAGAAGTGTGTTCACATACGTCTCTCTCTCTCTCTCTCTCTCTCTCTCTCTCTCTCCACCATCCATGGCATGATCTATGTCTAGTGGTTGACCTCAATGCTAGTTGACTCCAAGACATTCTAGCTCAGCTAGGAAGTCACCACCACGTTTTGTTATAACAATTGAGGGGATTTTCCACTAATCCTATTTTGTTAAATTAGTGACACACACAATTCATAGATATGATTCATGTCTATTTATCTTTATTTATCTCTAATGAGAGAGACCTAACAAATAATACATATATCACGACGCATAAAATAATACATATATCATAAAACGAGAAAGAATATATCACAACAGATAAAATAATACATATATCATGAAACGATAGAGATAAACTATAAAGATGTCAGGACATGAATTCATCTTGATTTGAAAGGATTAAAGAAAGTGGAAAGTAAAGGCAATGCCTACCTTGGATCATGCGAACCCAATTCCAGGCTGAAATGAGCCAGAAAGATTTCTGCTACGTCAATGCCATTATATATGTTTTGTTTTTGGGTACTTTTTATTTATTTTTATAGCTGGTACACATTATTATTAGAATAAATGGGCATGCAATAATTATTATTATTATGAACCTTTAAACAGCCATGCATGCCAACATGAGCTATTCACTTTAGCTGGTCATGTCTGCTTTGCTCGGTCTCTCTCTCTGCCTTTCTTTATTGCTTTCTTTCTTTTTCTCTGCATAATTATATGGAGAGAAAGCAACATGTCGTTTTATTGACTTCCATTTGTCGTGCAGAATTCTTTTAATTAGTTTTGCTTATTGACTAATTATATTTCCGTTCAATTTCATCATATGCTGACACAGTAATGTGTCCTCAAAGAAACTAAGCTACCATTATATTTATATTTCTACATTGGAAACCATTATTACCCAGATAATATATTGGAAAAACCATACTAAGAACCCATTTATAATGCCACTTTTTTTTCACTTAATTTCGTAATTAATCTAAAGTTCAAGAGCTTTTAAATGCAAAACATCCAAATTAATATAATCAAAATCCCACAAGTGGCAAACGTCCCATGTGATGTATCCGAACATCCAAATTCTCAACATACCATGCTATTTGCTGGGAAGATTCGAATTCGAGACATCTTCTATAATTGGAATTAGAAATAACACCTTATTGTCCTGGTAACCGAGTAAAAGACGGGTAAAATCGCAGCAACCAAAAAGAAAAGGCAAATAGTGAAAAGTTGGACAATGGGGTGGGTGGACGCTCAAGGGTCATAGCTGTGTGTGACTGTCAAGTACTCCGTGTTTTCTAACTTTTCTGTTTTTGTGTTTCCTTTCTTCTGAAACTCATAATAATTTCTAACTAGTCCTAATAATTTCTAACTAGTCCTAATAATTAAACATCTTAAGTACATTTTACTTGGTTCACTAATGTGATACAGAAATAATTAGAATGTTAAATTTCTCGGTTGTGTGTGACACTAACAACACGTATGTATTGTTGTATTATTATAATCTGACCTAAATTATTAATTGTCAAACAAAGGACTCGCCAACATTAATATCAATACCAACGTTTTTCCATTTGTGGAAATTCAGATGGGGCAACTTCCTTGACGGTTCAAAGAGCAGGTCTACTTTCCATTTCAAGGAAAAGAAAAACGACAGCAGCAAGTCACAAGACACACACCCACAACTCCCTTTTTTTTCGTCTCCATAGGAAATTTACAGTCCCTTGTAAAGAAAACAGCAGAAAAAACGCGGTTTCTATCCATTTGTTTCTCTTTGCACTGATTCAACTAATTCTCATCTATTCTAAAGCAAAACGCGTTTTTTCTTAATCAACAGTAACAATATTTTTAGAGTCTAAAATTCCGCTTATAAGCTATATGCAGACATGAATTAGGCTCGTTGAATAAGATAGTGTGTCAGTTTTCTTACACAGAGAGAGATAGGTGGGGCCATGGATGAATAGAATAATATTTTCAGATGGAAGTTGATTAAAGTTAGTAGAGCGTGGTAGAGTGGAGATTTAATTAGAGAGTTTAAATTAAGTTTGCGTTTTGTTTAATTTCCAGTTTATATTTCGTTTTTCCTCTAATCGATCAAATTGATTGAGAGCTTGAGATATTATTATAAATAGAAATAATATATAAAGAGCAGAAAAATACAAAGCGAGTTAGAGTTAGCAGAGCCGAGGAGGGTGAAGTTGACTGGCGGAGGAGGAAGTCGAGCTGAGCTCAGTTTTCCAACCCGAATTGCAAGGGTCGAGTCGAGTTGAGTGGCGGTGGGTGGCCCCGCCGCTGCTCACGGAAATCCATACGACGGTCCAAACGACGCCGTCGATTTGTTCCTTAGGAATCGCGGCTACAACGGCCTCTTCTCTCAGATCGAGGTTACTTCTGTCTCTTGAATTTTGTGTGAGCCATTTCTTTCTGCAACTGTCTTCTTTAGCAATTAGCAATTTGGATTGGACTTTCAGTTGAGCTTAAATCCGACGCCGTTTGGTGGGATCCTTTGTTCGAAATTGCATTTTTCTGTAGAACTTGAACTCGCTAAATTTTGATTGTGCGCTTGGATTCATAAATAATTAAAATCATTTGAAATGTGATATTCATTTCAAGAAAACTATTGCAGCTGAAGCTACTACAATTCTAGGATTTTTTTAGTAGCTAAAGCCCCCATTTGAGCTCTATAATTTCTGATTTTGTCTCTTTTCCAACAATTCACATGCAGTTATCGTTTGCTGCAATAGACTTGCGCGATCGGGACGTGCTCTCCAAGGTTTGTCGCTCTACATTGAATATGAGGAACCATTACTTGCAGTTTACTCCTATTAAATCCATAGCCTAGGCTAGTTTGGATCATTGATGTTTGAATGGTGTCCTTTACTTTCGTCGTGCTCTTGTTTGCAATTTATTGATTCACAAAGTTGATTTACTCATGTAGTCGTGTTATTCAACGTGTACTATGCTTAGATGAACTGTTTTTGAATTTAAAACCTGATGGTAAGATTTGTAACTCACACTTTTCTACCCTAAGATGAACACTTCATTTTACTGTCATTTGACTGCTACTGTAGCTATTTCTGGGATTAAGTTATGGATGTAGCAATCCTGATTTATTTTCAGTGCTAAGACCCCTTTTATTTGCCCTATTTCATCTTCCTGATGTAGTTCGCAAAGTTCATTTTCTTCTATCATGCTAATGATAGTTCTTTTTGCTTTGCTCTCATGCTCCATATTTTAGTTGTGTAAATGTTTCTTTTGTTTCAGGAATGTCAGTCTGTTATTCATGAATTTTATTTTCTATAGAGTGATCCCATGCTGGTTATTTATACAAAAGGAAGAGATGGAGGACTTTCAGAGCTTGGTCGCACTGAAGTAGTTCTAAATTCATTAAATCCAAAGTGGATCACAAAACATAATATCACTTATCATTTTGAGGTTGTGCAGACTTTGGTGTAAGTTTAAAGCTTTTATCTCTTTTTCAATCCAGAAAACATGTTTTCAGTTTCACAATTATGTATCATGTGGTATATTTTTCATCACAGGTTTCGTGTGTATGACGTTGACACTCAGTTTCACAATGTAGACGTGAAGGTACAAAATTTTATGATGCTGTGCCTGCATATAGTCATTCCTGTTCTTAAGCTAGAGTTTTGGATCATCCAGTTGTCCTCTGAAACACTCTTTGTGGCAAGACTAATATGGTTATTTTCTTGTTTGACAAAAAGCCAAATCAAATGGAAATTGATTTGTGGGGGAAACTTTCTTGTTTTTCTTTTTGCTTTTAGTGTTCTGTATTGGTAACTTCACATTATAGTTCAAGTATTAACACAAAGAGTTTCCACATCTTACTTTAATTCAGGTGCTTGCAAGCATAACAGGTTCATAATAGGTGGTTTTACTTGTGCAGATGCTTAGGTTGGAAGAGCAACAATTTCTTGGTGAGGCAAGCTGTGCACTGTCTCAGGTATGACATAATGACCATTTCTGTGGAAAACAATAGGAACATCTATGATATTCTATCTAGACTTCCAAAGTTGACCGATATGCGCAAAACCTGCTTGAACCCAACTAAATCCAGACTCCTAAGTGGGTACAGAATAGAGGTTTTGTTGCCTCTGCAAAAGTGGGCCGACCTAAACCTGATGCATCAAATCAAAGAATAGAAAAGGTCTTCTACTTTGGGTGCTTTAGCTGAGCTTCATCTCTCAGACACGTTAAAATACAATATATATATATATATATATATATATAAAATATAATATAATGAGAGAGAGGGAGAGAGAGAAGCTCTCAGCATGTGATGAAAGTCTCGATCTCTCTAATCTGAGAAGTATTTTAGTTCATCCTTCTAGTGTATCTGGTTTACCAAGATATGTTAGTGGAAATTATTTATTCAACAAGGACTATACCTGAAGCTCTGAAATCTGATGCTTTTACCCTTTAATTCGTCTTTCTACCTGTGCAGATAGTTCCTAAATCAGACAGGTTATTAACCCTCAATCTTGTATATAGAGAAGACTCAGAGTCAAGCAGATCCAATCGTCATCGAGACCGTGGAAAGCTCATTGTGCATGCTGAGGAATCTGTTAGCTCAAAGACAATGGTAGAGATGAGTTTAAGGTGTTCAGATTTGGAATACAAGGATCTCTTCTCAAAAAGTGTAGGGGCTGTGGAGTTATTCTTTCTTTCTTTTTGGATATCTATATTTATAAGCATTTCTGGATACATGCATGCTTGGCCAAATGGAAAATGGTTTATGTTTTGACACATGTTCTGATTTGTCTTACAGGACCCTTTTTTGATAATATCAAAACTTACGGAGAGTGGGACCACAATTCCAGTTTGCAAAACAGAAGTCATAAAGAATGAGCTCAAACCCGCATGGAAACCAATATATTTAAATATTCAACAAGTTGGAAGCAAGGTATAAACAAGTTTCTATTCGGTGCCAGAATAAGTCTGAATTATTGGAGATTGAGTTTGCTGGTTCTATGAATGCTTTGCCCCTTATTTTCTTGTCACAGAATGCTTTGTTCAATTAGTTCCCATGGAAAGTCAAAGATTTTGGTTGTTTAATTTGTTAACTTAATTTGTCCATAATGTGGCTACTGTCACCATAAAAATATGCTGACACTGAGAGCTCCATCTTAGTAACCATGTGGTTTAACATGCAAATTCCATCAGTAAAGATGTATGCAGGTATTTGTGATAAGAAGCAATGCTTCTTCATAGCTTGATCATATTGTGCTTCTCCTATTGTTTCTAATAGCTTTTTCATTTTGTTCTATTATTAATCTGCAGGATAGCCCATTGATAATCGAGTGTTTTAATTTCAATAACAATGGCAAGCATGATTTGATTGGGTAAATAAATATCTATTTCTTCCATCTTGTTCCCTAATTCCTACGAATTTTTGTTTTTGTTTTTTTTACGTTACTGTGCTTTTATTGTTGAATAAACAGCAAAATTCAGAAATCACTGGCAGAGTTGGAAAAGCTTCATGCTATTGGGCAAGGAGAGAATTTATTTTTACCAACCACTGTTGGGCATGATTACCACAACAAGGTAATATAGTAACATAATATATTTTTAAGTGAATTTCCATCCCAATCTCTCTTAATTTACAAGTTCTCGGGACTTCATTGCAGATACTAAAGAGCCAACTATTTGTGGACAAGTTTACGGAGAGCGTCCAGCACACCTTTCTTGATTATTTGGCTGGGGGCTGTGAATTGAACTTCATGGTCGCTGTTGATTTTACAGGTGCTTATGTACAATTATTTGTTACTTAACTTAAAAAAAAAATAATTATGAGTGCAACTAGATGCATGCTTTGGCTTGAGAAATATATCTTCGTAGTACATTGTTCAATTATATGATAGAAGTGATTGTCACTAGATGTTGAGTCTTGCAAATATTTCTAGATCATGGTTGCAAAGTTGTTTGCTATAGTATATATAGGAAAGCATTGTTATAGCTTATTATTTTGGACATCGCGTATTCTTTCCCTCTTATAAATGCAAACTTGTTCAGAATTAATCGTATAGTACATGCTAAATTGTCTTATCAAATTCACTCATATTCCTTGGTTATCAGCTTCAAATGGAAATCCTCGCCTGCCTGATTCTTTGCATTATATAGATCCATCAGGACGGCCAAATGCATACCAGAAAGTGAGAATTAGGTCCCTTTATTATAATTTTCACAAATTATTCCTTTATTCGGACCCATATGATTGTGACATTGTTTTTCAGGCAATCATCGATGTTGTGGAGGTGTTGCAGTTTTATGATTCAGACAAACGCTTTCCTGCCTGGGGATTTGGAGCCCGACCAATTGATGGTCCAGTTAATCATTGTTTCAACTTGAATGGGAGTAGTCATTACTGTGAGGTGAAATAGTTTATGACCAGAACTTGCTTTTGTTATCTTAAACCTTGTAGCTTCTTTCTCTGTATTAAGGACTCTGTAAATCTACTTCTTTCAGGTTGAAGGAATCCAAGGAATCATGATGGCATATACAAGTGCCCTCCAAAATGTTTCTCTTGCAGGACCAACTCTTTTTGGACCTGTAATTACCAATGCTGCATTAAATGCCAGCCAGTCTGTTGCAAATGGTGGACGAAAATACTTTGTTTTGTTAATAATCACGGTAAGCGTAAATGGGGTTGAATCTATTATCCTATGTGTCTCTGAACTTCTTTTAGACTTTAGTTTATCAAGACTGTTCAGTTGGTAATCTTCTAGTTCTTTTAGTACTTGTATTATATATCTCTGAAGTTCTTTTAGTACTTGTATATATCTCTGAAGTTCTTTTAGTTGACTTCAACTTTATTCTAAAATTTCACTGCCGTAGGATGGAGTAGTGACAGATCTCCAAGAAACCAAAGATGCCCTCGTGAAAGCATCTGACCTGCCACTGTCAATCCTCATTGTTGGAGTAGGAGGAGCTGACTTCAAAGAAATGGAGGTATCTCATTCCCTTGTGTTTGTAATGCTGGAATGTCTTGTGTTACAGTACGGATTGTTTTGATTGCAAAGTCATACACTGAATAAAAGCCTGAATGCTACAACTTACTATCTCCACTTTCGTTGTAAAGATTTTGGATGCTGACAAGGGTGAGAGACTTGAAAGTTCGACTGGACGTGTTGCTTCACGTGATATAGTTCAGTTTGTTCCATTCCGAGATGTACAAAGTGAGTGTTTTTTTCATTTCTGGCAAACCAACTTTGCGTAGTGGCTTTAGCAATTCTTTCTAGGTGGGCAGTAACTTTGCTTTGATTTGCAGGTGGAGAAATTTCTGTTGTTCAGTCACTTCTAGCAGAACTACCTTCTCAATTTCTGACTTACATGCGATCCAGAGACGTCAAACCAATTTTGTGATCATGTAAAGAACTGTACATATGAAGATTTGATCCTCACGCAGTATGAGCCTGAATATTTTTTGCTGTTTTTTTCCCCATTTTGGCTGCATTGAAATTCAAATGTGGTTTTATCATGAAGAAAAACAATTCTATGTTGCATCGTCACATTCGAGTTGGGCTGGCTGCAGCTGCACAGTCCTCGTGGCCTTGGTGAGACAGCCCAATTAAAGTGTCCACGGCTCTTCTTTACCAGGCTAGGGTTCTACAATTAGAGGCCCTAAACACGACGAAACCAGGGTTATGGCTATAGGCGACTGGGTTCTCTTTCAAAATCAACAATTGGAGAAAGACGTGAAGAACAGTTTCAGAATAGAAATACAAGTGTTTTCATCTTTTCGAAATGGAATCTCTATGAAGTGTTCAAAATGCTGCATAATCTGGATTTTTTTTCCTTTCCGAATTTTTTTTTATCCTGTTGCAAATTTATATGTTTCATGGCATTAGAACAATGTGTCTCACCAAACAGCAATGTCTTTTGATGGGCTTATCATGAACTTTGAAGGAAGTCAGCAAATCAACTAGAATATAAATTGTCATTGAAAAAAAAAACATAACTTCCACAGAGAGAATTAATAATAGCGTCTCCTCCAGCACTTTGTAGCCTCGAAACCAGGCGTGGCTGTCCCATTAAAACCCAAAGGAAGCTTTAGATTGCAGATGGCATTGCCGGAGACGAACGTTTCCTTGAAAGCAATCAGAAGGTCAACACTGTAAACGCCGGCAGCGGTCCCCAAACTATACTTGTTAAAAACAGATTCCGCAAACAGCACCAACTTCTGCCCTTGAACAGCCACATTCTCAAAGCTGACTGTGGTATTAGAGTTTTGGTGAAACGATGCCGTTTCGTTCACCAAAGTCACAAAAGCAAACCTTGTCCTTCCATAATACGCAGTGACTTGGATGTCACTGTACTCGAGGCCGATGTACTTCTTGGGGTTTGTGATGGTGATGTTGAGGGCAAGGTTGTAGGAGAGAGAGTGGTTGGTTTTGGTGTAGTTGAATTGGGTAAGAGAAGCATTGTCCACGTAGAATTTCGGGACGGTGGGAATCTCTGTAATGTCGCTAAATATCATTCCGCAAACAAATATTATGATCAGGGCAAATCTCAATACGTCTGGCTTGGTAATTTTGAGATCGTTGGTTTCGTCGAAAGAAGGGAGGTAGCTGCTGCCAAAGCTTTCATCTTTTGCAGACATGGCTGGCTGCTAAAGAAAGGGAAGAATATTGGAGAGCTTCAGCTAATTTGAGGGCTATAGGATTAGGTTAGAAATTTTTAGAATACAATGGTTACAACAGACTAGGATGGAAGGAAAGTAATTATAGGGGAGTGGGTGGGGAAGAGGAGAATAATCAGGAAATTGATTATGCACATCCGGAATATCTCTAGAAAAATCTGGAAAATATATTTATCATCATCCATGGTTTAAGGGATTGGAGTTGTAGAACAAGGGTGCATTTTTGCTCGGGTGCATTTTTGCTCACCACCTTAACCCTAGGTGTACCCTCACCACCCCTCCCAAAAGTTGACACATGTCCATGAGTTTAACTATAGTTAATTCTTATTTTTTATTTATTTGATAACATTATTATGAGAGAGAAACAATACTTCAATAAGATTTTTCCTGATTTACCCTTATTAACCTAGCAAACTTTCCACCTTTCTAAATTAATTAACAACTACCCAAATAAATAATTGGCAATTGGCTTTATATCCCGTGCTTTAATATGAATATCAATTCACAGGCTTCAATACTTTGAAGAACACACCCAGATACTTTGAATCTCAATTGGCTTTAGTTAACTCTTTTTATACACGCCCAAAAGTTACACTGCTCTTCAATATATTATTACGTTGCAATTTCTCAATATTCTTGAACCTGTTTTCTTTCTTCAACCGATGAGTTAATTATGATGTTGCAAGTTTTGGACTAATTAATTCTGGTTTTATTATTCTAAATAAAGCTTACTCCATAGGAGCAAAATATATTGGAGTTGCAGAAATTCCAAAAACGATGAAGGAACCAAGCTCTGCAATAATACCCTTCATTGTCTCATTCCTCTGGCTCTGCAGTACGGTTCATTCTATCATTCCTTTCTATGCTAGTCTTGATCCACCAGTAAAGATGATACCAACATCATGGACTAAAAAAACTAAATAACGCAGAGCAATCACAAAAGTATAAAAAATAATCAAGCAATACACAGTACTATAAAAATAAAAAAAAAACAGCATAGATTATTACCTATCTTTCACTGAACAAATGGAGGAAGCTTGCAATTGAAGATCAGCATAGATTATTATTTGGGGAGTTGTTAATTAATTTTAAAAAAGTGGAAAGTTTGCTAGGTTAATAAGGGTAAATCAGGAAAAATCTTATTGAAGTATTGTTTCTCTCTCATAATAATGTTATCAAATAAATAAAAAATAAGAATTAACTATAGTTAAACTCATGGACATGTGTCAACTTTTGGGAGGGGTGGTGAGGGTACACCTAGAGTTAAGGTGGTGAGCAAAAATGCACCCTGTAGAACAACATGGTACGAATCTTTAGGTGATATATTACGCACGTATACGTTTGAAACTCAAACTGAAAAGTCAAATTATAACCAAATCAAGTCACTGCATTACGAAAGGGGTAGAAAAAGGAAGAAATCAACAAAATTTACTTCTTATACGTGAGTTTGATCTTTACTTGTGTAGTATTACTAATTCACATATTAGATTTAAATAATAATATTATACCTTAAGTAACATCACACACATGACGGTGTGACTATCACACTTCAATATTTTGTGAGAATTGTCGATCGCTTTTTTTCTTTTTTTTCCTTTTTCCAAATGCTAGGGAGATTGCATTTATAAATTACGCCATAAGTGCAGTACAAATACAAAAAGCTCAAGGCCTAAAATAAGAGGCTACCCGAAACACAAAAGGATTTAATCATAGTATCAAACTTATATGGTACACCTCCAATTAAACAAGAATAGTTGAACTTTTTTTTAGACAAGATTAGTTGAACATTTTTTTTTAGAGAGACTTGATGATTTGTTAAAGTCCATGGGTTTCGTCGGGAGCAGGTACCACAGTGGTGGCTTCCCCCTTTCCCCTGCTTGACACCAAGGTTCGAAACCCCAAGGGCTTTCTTTCCTCCCAATGTAACCAAAAAAAAAAAAAGTCCATGGGTTTCTTGGGCAAGAAAAAAGTCCATGGAGGCTTTCATGTTAGTGGGCCACTTTACATAAAGTATTCATATCATTTGAAAAACTTGGATTGGTCTTTAAAACTGGCTACGCTCTTCTCTCAGGACAAGTAGTTGGAGTAATACATGAAACCTCTAGTCAAGTTTAACACCACACACACCTACCCCATCGCTTTTCCGCTTTCGTAATAATTAAGACTTGAATGAAACTGCAAGTTCGGCAACTATTTAATCAAATTAATTAGTAATTAAGATGCCACAAAGTGCGCATATGGAGGCGTGCTTAGGCAATTGCCGCAACTCTATTCAATTTTTTTATTTTTGTTTAATACCTTTCATCATATATTTGGGTTTTGATATATATAATTTGAAGGTTGAAATCAATTTATGTGTCTTTGCATGCAGTATTTAAGTCTTCGTGGTTGTTTATAACCTTTTGCCACATTTTAAAAACCTCAAGCAAAGCATATATGGATTTTGCCAAGTCGATTAGAGCGGATGTGCTCCTCATTTTGCACATGAGTTGGAATTTTCATCCCCATAATTTAAAATAAAATATCGTCTTTACACCCAAGCAACTAGTTGAGCTTTTATAACCCCATATGACAGAAAACAAAATGAGCATGGAAATGCATGCCAAATGCCAATACAATAGTTAAATAACTTCACATTCCATGCATGATGCATGCTTGACATATGCAGTGTGCAGTTGGGAGACTTCGGAAAAGATTAAAGGATAGAGAAGTTTTTTAAAAGAAGCCAAAATGAACAAAATTGCCCTTATTTATTTTTGGATTTCCTAAGGAATCATTTACATTTGCATGTCTTTAGTTTGAAAGTTGAGAGGTTTTTCTGTTTTTTTTAAATAAAAAATTTGGCTTTTTTTTCAAAAGTGAAATTTTTTTTTTATGACTAAAACCTAAATTTACTTTCCTTTTTTTTTTTGGCAGTCCTCTTTCTCTTCTTTGGATAAGTCCATCAACATGTTAATGACACCATCATGCATGATGATCATATCGAGTATGTCAAAGAAGAAAAGCAATTAAATTACGTAAAATAATAATATTATATAGTAGTTTGGATTGGAATTTAACGAAAGTGATGAGATAAGCTATACGCAGTCCCTGGTCGCAAAAGTAAACGCCTAGCTTTATAGTTCAAAAAGAAAAAGGGCGACAGAATAGAAGGCCTTAAAGTTGGACCATATGCTTTTTCAACATATCAGCTCTAAAATTTCACACCACCAAGGAGGCTAGGACAAGTATATATGACTGTATCAAACCCTATCTCTCTCTCTCTCCTCTTCTTCTTCCTCCCTCCTCCTCCTCGCTAATTGTCCCCTCATTTCTTTCTCTCTTCTAGATCTTGATTCATATATATGCACATGCATCAAAAACAAGAAATATATGTACTTAGTTTCTAGCTAGCTAGCAGTAAAAATAATTAATATTGATGATTTAGCATAAAGCTTCATCTATATATTCATCAAGGGTATCAACAAGGTCATAAAGTGGATCGAAAGCATGGGAAGAGGCCCTTTCCTGGTGATGAATCAGAGGAGAAAGCGGAGGATCATCAAATCTTTGAGTCGTTTTCCTCAGCTCGATCTCAGCAAGAGATGTCTGCCATGGTCTCAGCTCTAGCTCAAGTGATTGGAATCACTGACCAAACCCCAGTGGTTCAAATGCCCGCCGAGCCATTGGCAAACCCCCTGCCCAGCGCCACGGAATTGCATGACGATCAACCTCCTCAACTGCAGGCTGCTCAAAATCAAGGTTTAAATATTTGGACAGTTGACCAAGATTTTACACATACACATACATAGCTAGTACTTAAGCATGTTTCATGCTTGCTACTTTATTATTGATTGAGGTCTGCTACACTGACCTAGGATTCATATGGATTGATCGATCGATCGATCTACTTCCTAATTATTTGTTGATTTTGTGTAGATTTATAAGTCCATCATGGATTCATGGACCATGGTCATCATTCTCTCTCTCTCTCTCTCTCTCTCTCTCTCTCTCTCTCAATAAGTGCCCTAATCAGGTTTCCGCTTATGATGGATTAAGGTTTGCTGTGCAGATTTCCGACTAATGGTTCCATTTCCATCTTAATGATTGTCTTCTTTTGATGGGCATCTTATTAATGATTGTTGATTAGAATCTATTTTAATTTCATTTCCAAATTCTGAATCTTTTTGGTTCATTTTAACTTTTAGAAATCATAGTATATATATATATATATATGGGTTACACTATTATTTTTCTGATGAATAAGTAATTCATATGGTTCTACTTGTTTCCTAATGCTTTTCCCGAGCCGTTTCTAGCCATATGTATTAATATTTGGGGCACAATAACAACATATGAACAATGCTATACATATGTTACATTTGCTAATAATATTGAGAATAAGAACTATTATGGTCTCATATTAACTGACGGGATTTAGTGTACATATCATCCCCTAATAGAAGTGAGTCCAATGGCGGAGCCACTCCCGGGCCTGGAGTGGCCCTGGCCCCTCCAGATATTTATCTCTCATCTATTATATTATATATAGCATATAGAATTTGTAATAAACAACTTATAATTTAAGTTAAAATTTCCTCTAAAACAAATTAGACATGACTCAATTAGAAATATTTAGCTCTAAACATGTAATTATTGAATATTTAAGTGTTTTATATACTTGTATTTTCTACTTCAGCCCCTCCCAACTTTACAATTCTAGCTCCGCCCCTGAGTGAGTCCTGCCTCTATTAGGGTAATAGTACACTAAGTGTTCAGTTAACAAGGTACAAATAATATTATGATATTGATGATTACCTCTCACAAGAGATGGATACTAGCTACCACATATCTTGAAGAAATATATGTTCATGTCATGAGTGCTAAAATATTCCTATACCATATCTACTTTCTGTTTGAATGTTCCTAATTAAGGTGCTTAGTTACTAATTTACCTGGCAAAACACATTACATGTTTGTGAAGGTAATGTGAGGAGAAGGCACTATAGAGGTGTGAGGCAGAGACCTTGGGGAAAATTTGCAGCGGAGATTCGTGATCCAAATAAGGCAGCCCGAGTGTGGCTTGGAACCTTCGAAACAGCCGAGGCTGCCGCACTTGCTTATGATGCGGCAGCTTTGAGATTCAAAGGAAGCAAAGCTAAGCTTAATTTCCCAGAAAGAGTTCAAGGAGGAACTGAGTTGGGTCACCTCACAACAACTGGTCCACAAGACTTAGCAGCTGGGGGGAGTCGAAGAACTGAATTGGCTCATTACAATCAGCCTCTTTCTGATCATCAATATCAACTGCAGGCAAATCCCAATAATGTTAATTTTACTCAACCTGATCAATATGCACAATATTTTCGAGGCGGCAATTATGAGAACCTAAGTTATGATGTTTTACCAAATACTTTTTACGAGAGAGAAAGATCATTTGTTTCCCAGACTTTATCAGCTACCACTACTACATCTTCAGTGCCTTTCGTACCATATCAACAAGAAGATCAAGATCAACATGTACAACAACAACAGCCCTTAAGCTTTTCTATGGCGCAGCAGCCGTTTGGTTCTTCTTCTTCTTCGAGTTCAGATCCTTATAAGAAAAAGAAAGACTTTGGACAGCACCCTTAGTATCAAGACAAGTTCCAAGTTTCTCCGGGGGAGATGAAGAGAGAATGATATAATGATCCATCTTGGAGCAGAAGTCATGAGATTTTCGTCCTATATATATCTGAACACATATATTTGTTTCCTTAAGTTTTCATGCATTAATTGTTTCTTTTTTGTTTTCTTGAATTAAACCCTTTTTGTTTGTCATCAAGCCATATAGTTTGCGAAATTTGAACGGGGTTGACATTGGAAAGCCCTAGTATTTGTTTGACTGGAGAGAGATTTTCTGTTATTTAAGCTGAGTCCATAAGAGAACATACCAGTTCCATTTATGAGGGTTGATATGAGATGATGAGATTGAAAACCTGCCACCTTTTTTAATTAAGATACATGGATTCTCCTAATCTTCCCAAGCACCCGAACCGGTCCGGTCGAAAACATAAACAGAAAATATATATAAAAAGTGACAAAGGGAAGAGCTGATCGATCGATCGATACGCTGTATTTGTGCAAACAATGGATTCTCTAATACTATAAGGCAAAGACCAGCACACAAGGGGACAATAGCGGTGAATCTGGAGAGAGTCTAGCTAGCTATAAGGCAATATAAACACACACAATTTGGTTAGATAGAAGTGGCTAGAAAGCGGGTTTGCAGCTAATCAAGGCCAGGGAATATTGTTCTAAAGATCATTATAAAATGTCAACTAATTATAGTGGTCATGGAATTCGGCTATGTGTGACAAATGTGTCAGCTTATGCTCTCATTCCCAACTATATTTTTTATCTTCACCGTCCTTCTTGGCTAATGTGTGACACATATATACAAGTTTTTTATAATCCTATATATGCAATTTGGCACGTTCAATATGCATTTGCTTAATTATATAATATATAGATTTATGCAATTTTATCTAAAACTCCCAATTATAACGGTTATAACCCCAAAATCAAGCTTATTAAGGTCACGTTTGGTAAACTCGACTAGGTCAAGATTGGACTATTTAGCACTAAGTCAGATTACAACCTCACTAGGTAATCAGGTTCTAAGGGGTATCTACGTGTGGATTTTGTTCAAACCGCACACGTTACACATGCAATGTAAATGTGATTAGAAACCACGGCTCCAAATAATTGTTTAAAAAAAGAACTCCTAGAGTGGAAAGTAACCTAATTTTCAAATCAATCCATTATAATTACAGTTCCTTTTCTTTCTTTTTTAATAATTATGCTATGAATGTAACCACCATTTGAGCCACTTGTTGTGATCAAAGTCAAGTGGAATTCTCGGGTTGATTTACCTACAAGGAGTCAAAACTCATCAAGACATAAAAAGCTGCCCATCATCAATCGAATTCATACCCACACTCTCCTCCAAGCTGCTATGTCCAAAAAAACAAAAGAAAACAAAATCCGCAAACCTTAATTTCTTTGCACTTGGGCATTGCCTCAGGTTGCAAGAGTCAACACAATTATTAAAAAAGACACAAGAAATATTCTATATTATTCTAGCTTAACTTTGGAGAGATGCAAAAGACCCACTAGTATAGTCATTTGGAGTATTTACTCTTTCAGGCAAAGTTTTGGATTCGAGTCTTAGCATATGTATAGTGTGTATGAATTTAGTATGTTATCGCTCCTTTTAATAGAAAATGTCTTCAAAATAAAAAACTTCGAGTGGACAAATTGAACTTGAATTTGAATGTAAAGTGAAGAGTTTCTTGCTCTACCCAACTAACCTATCTTACGCCCTTTTAGGTTTTTTAGGTTTTAGACATAAAAAAAATTTCACTTTTGGAAAAAGCCAAAGCTTTTTCAAAAAAGACAAAAAAATCACTCAACTTTCAAATCAAAGACATGCAAATATATTGGATTCCTTAGGAAATCTAAAAATAAATAAGAGCATTTTTGTCCATTTTTGCTTTTTCTAAAATTTTTCTCTCTCTTTTTGCTTTTTCCAAAATGTCCCAACGCCTTTTATATCCAATGCATACAAAATAGAACCATCTGAGATCGGCGGAATTGACTCAGCATGTCTCACTCACGATTTTGATCGATCCATTCAATTAATTAATGACTTGAGGAGCTGGTGTTTCGGCGGCTTCTCTTTGACGACGCGCTCTGTCTTTCGGCTCCATTTGTCAACCTTTACGGCTCCAGTCCTTTTCCTGCTTAACTCGCTATTTTGGTTGTTTTTTAATTGGTCTTTTCTTCTCTTCGACCAGAAAAATCTCGCAAACCATTATTTCTTTGGCTACAAGATTAATTTTGAACTTGACTGGAAGTATACTACTACTATTGTAACTCGTTATATTTTTATGAACATCAAATTCATTGCGATACTTGCCAGGTTGAGAGTTCATCCGTCCCTTTTTTCCATATGAATTTTATGCCCAAAAAAATAATGTATAAAGCCCATAGCGATATAATAGATTGATCGTTCCAACTTAAATTGTATATATAGAGTATAACGATTTGGAACTTTTTTTTTAATACAAGCGATAGTTTAAACTAATTTCTCACACACACATACAATTATTATGATGTGAGAGACCTCTAGTATACAAGTGAAGACCATTTTTCATTAGGCTAGATCTCGTTGGTATAATGGTTTGGATTTTAAATTATGCCTGAGCGTAGAATCCTTTATGGGTTAGAATTTACATAGAGCCCTAGATAGCCATAAATCTCAAGCCCATCCTGATCAACGTCAACAAAGCCAGAGCCCAATAAAGATAAACAAAAAGACACATTCAAGTGCTAAAATATGGAATTATAATGTGGACAAATCTCTCTAAGGCCCCGTTTGGGATTGCTTTTTTTGGCCAAAAACCTGCTTAACTTTAAAGTTAAGCAGTTTCAGGTGTTTGGTAAAAATAAAATATCTCGATTATTTTAAAAGCAGTGAACTTTTGACAGCAGCTTTTAAAAGCAGACTCTGGGTTGCTTTTCAAAGCTGCTTTCAAAAGAAGCAGAGATGAATATTTAATGAATTTTTTTAATTCCCAAAATATCATCATTCATTTTAAAAAATGACATCACCTCCACTTCCACATCCAACTTCACCACTTGCACCACCACATTCACTACCTCTACAACCACCGCCACCGCCACCACCACCACCACAACCACCACATCTTCCTCCTCCTCATCCTCCACCACCACCACTACCACCTCCACCTCCACCTCCTCCACAACCACTA